TCCCACCTGGTCAGGCATGGAGGGTATATGTTACAGACCCCATCAGTTAAATAACTGCAATTGGCAAGGTCTAGGAAGAGAGCCTTCTCTGTCCTTGCACCCACCCTATGGAATATTATTGTCCTGGGGTTGAGGCAGGTCCCCATAGTCCTGGCCTTCCAAAAAGGGGTTAAAACACAGCTCTGAAGCCTTACGTGAGAAGCCCAAAGGTGTACACAGTGTGGGGTTGGTTGATACCACGAGAGCCCTCCTTTTGCCTTTGTCAACTAATTTTTAACAGGGTTTAATTATTTTTGCATCCTTGAAACTTTTTATATTTTTTAAACATTTTAATTCTAATATTTTAACTCAAATGTTTTATTTTTTTTATATTGTGATGTTTTATTGTACACTGCCCAGAGTCCCTCTTTGAAGGAAATGGGCAGTTCATACGATAGGTAGGTAGGGAGAGAGGGGGGGGGCAGAGAGAGAGAGAGAGAGAGAGAGAGAGAGAGAGAGAGAGAGAGAGAGAGAGAGAGAGAGAGAGAGAGAGAGATCTTCCCTGTAGGTGTAACTGCCTACAGTCAATAGTAGAGGAGACAAAGCAAGTTGTATGATGACCTTTGGGCCAGAGCTCAACTCAGGGGGAAGACAGTGACAAACCACTTCCTTATTATTGAGAAGAAACTTCATGGATGTGTCTGTACAGTACAGTGACGAGTTGAGCACAATTAAGAGTCTATTTACTTGGTTATAGTTGCATCTTGCAATTTGTTACTTAGATCAGAGATCCCCAACCTTTTGGCCATCGGGGACCGGTTCCGTGGAGAGAGGTTGTTCCACGGACTGGAGGATGCGTGGTTTTGTGTGCTGCCTGCATCCCGCAGATGGGGCTTTGCTTTTTTGTGCGGACGGTTGCGGGCATGCCGTGGCCCAGTACTAGTCCACAGACCGGGGGTTGGGGACCCCTGACTTAGAAGTACTAAAATAAGACAAAAATAAACTGACAGAGATTGTTGGTTGATTAGGACATGTGTCATCTTTCCTTCCAATGCTGTATTTCTTAAAAGTTGACATTTGTATCTCCTCCCCTGAGTAATGCCTCAGCAGTGCATATAACAATGGAAAATACATTTAGGAGAATTTACATTTACATTATGAGCAGCATGGATGGTGGGAAAGATGGGGTAAAGCAAATGTAGGCATATTCCAGTATAAGATTAATAATTCATATTAGTAAAATACATCTTAGTAGCATTTATACCATTAGTAATGCTACAAATGAGGCTCAAAATTCATTAATAGAAGCCCCTGCAAAAACCATTAAAATTTGTCTACGGCTTATTTTTCACACTACTGCTATCTTCTGATAAAGACTATAGTTTCTTTTAGATCAGCTACTAAACTGTGATTTATGAATCACTGCTAATCTGCTACTGTGGGCACCAAAAACCTTATTAATGGCAAAAAAAATCTTGGGAGAGCAGCGAATGTAGCAAGATTTTGGTATTCTCATATAAAATATTAGGAGAATTTAGTATCTTCACCTAAAATCTCATGAGATTATGGGTGGAAGATCATTAAAGAGAGATCCAATCTAGAACTAAGGTGAAATCTCCTGACACTGAGAACAATTAATCAGTGGACTAGGTTACCTATGGAAACTGTGGGTGCTCCATCAGTAGAGATCTTCAAGAGACTGGACAGTCATTTGTCCAGAATGGTATAGGGTCTCCTGTTTGAGCAGGGGGTTGGATTAGAAGACCTTCCAATCCTATTATTCTATGTGTGTTATTATTGTATTGACCGCCATTGTTGCATTTGTTTACTGCTTTGACTGACTAAATAGTTTATAAATTCATAAATAAATATGAACATCCAGCCTAGGGATGTGCCTCAACTTATTTTATTTATTTTTGTTTATTAAATTTATGTGTCTCCCATCTTTCCAATAAGGTGCCTCTGGGCTTCTTAATGTAATGGTACCTCAGTTTTCATCGTTAATTTGGTAAAATGAGTACCAAAAATGATGAATACCAAACAAATTTTTCCCATAAGGAATAATGTAGTGAGTCACAAGGCAGCTGACACTGACATGTTCTAGCTTGTGCATTGAGTACCAAACAAACAATGAGTATCGGGACAAAATTTTTGCTTCAAAATGCATTGAGTACCAAATTCAATGAGTTTTAAAGCAGTTGAGTACCAAGGTACCATTGTACATCTGTTTTGTTCGTTTTTTTAAAAAAAGAACAATATTTCTACTTGCTCACAGATTTTGATGGGAATGTGGAAAATCGAGGAGGAAGGAAGCATAAACCTCATATCCTGAATTGCAACTTTTCGACTATCAACAGCAGAACATCCTCTGGCTTTCAGTGGAAGCATTGCTGCTTTTCACTATTTAAAAACAAAAAATCAAAATGGGTTCCAACACCTGATAGTGAGATTGGTGGCTCCGATAAAGAAAGGGTTAATCTCTTTATCAGCCTTTTATAAATGAAAGTGGGGGGAAAGGGCCATTTGAGAGTCACATCCCTGGGCTGCTTTATAGAGGAATATATGTTGCATTTTATAAGGGCAAGAGCATTAACATGTTCAGGGTGTGATTGGGGAATTACATTTCAGTCAAAATAGCAGAGAACCAAATTCAGTCAGTCGTCTGTTTGCCACGTGTCTAATGCGGCCAGCCTGCTTAATGACACAATTACTGAAGGGTTTTTACACATCTTCATTTTTCTTTCAAGGCACACCGGGCCAATTGTAGGCACATCTCATCCATAGCTACAATCAATACTGAGTACGCCTCGCATCACAGACCCGAGTGGCATGTAATTATGAGGCTGTATTGATTTTTCCCCACAAAGGGACTGCTAACACAGAAGAGGCAGCTTGACTTTCAGATGACTAGACCGACAGCCTTTTCATTTGTCCTAGAGAAAATTAACACAGCTTGGTGAAAGGCCTGAGTCCCACCCTGGGCACAGTTTCAGGAGAGTCTCTTTCTCCCTGGTTATAACACCCAGTCATTCCAGATTATTCCAAACCTAGTCTTCTCCAGTTCCGCCAATATAGAATAATAAAGGTGAAATGGTGAAATTATAGATTGATTGCACATTAGCTCTTACAGACACAATAGGGCTTTAAAGCTCCTCTCCTCGTCCTCCTCCAGGTGGCAATAATAACCTGGGAGAGCTCTGCCATGAATTTTGCACTTAATGTCAGCCTTATCTTTCCGCCTGCATTTTGGGAATAGTAAATGCAATGTTGTAAGAAATACGAGGCAATCTATGCAATGTGAATCATAATGAGTGCCATAGCTCATGGAGCTCTTCTCCTGTCCTTCACTCTGTGTAATAGATTTTGTTGTTGTTGTTCAGTGACAAAATTGTGCGTGGCCCCATGGGCCAGCATGCCGGACCACTTTGTTCTCCACTTTTTCTCGGAGTTTGTCCAAACCCATGTTCGTTGCATCAATGACACTAGCTAGCCATCTCATCCTCTGCCATTCCCTTCTCCTTTTGCCTTCAATCTTTTCCAACATCAGAGTCTCTTTCAGTGAGTTCTCTCTTCTCATTTGGTCTCCAGAGTATTTGAGCTTCAATATCTGCCCCCCCACCCAAAGAATAGCCAGGGTTTATTTCCTTTAGGTTTGACTGATTTGATCTCCTTGTAGTCCAATTGACTCTCAAGAGTCTTCTCCAACATCACAATTCGAAAGCATCAGTTCTTTAGCATATTGCCTTCCTTATGGTCCAGCTCTCACAGCCCTACATTACTACTGAGAAAACCATAGCTTTGACTCACTGCAATAGAGCTTCTGCCTGTAATGTCCCACAATCAAGTGAGATTCCATGAGCTGATAGGAATGCCTCTAAGATGGCCAAAACTTTGCAAGGCTACAACTATTTTTCCCTGAACTATTTGGAGAAATGTCTCTCTATTTAGAGAAATGTCTATGGAGATTCTCAGTCATCCAGGTCATAGTTATCCCAAAGGCGCTTTTTCACGAGGCAACTGGACTTCCTTGTTTTTCTTTGAAGATGTTTTGCTTCTCATCCAAGAAACTTCTTCAGCTCGGACTGGATGGTGGGGAATGGATTTCTACTCCTTGCAGACAGCTGGTCATTTGCAGCTTCCCCATGGTCATGGGATCCAAATTCAGACTCTTGGCAACTTGCATATATTTATGATGGTCGCAGTGTCCTGGGCTCATATGATCCCCTTTGCGCCCTTCTGACAACAAAGTCAATGGGGAAGCCAGATTTACACAACAGCCACAGTGTTACTAACTTAACCACTACTGTGGTTAACATCTTTGTCAAGAAAAGTCATAAAAGGGGGCAAAATTCACTTAACAACTGTCTCACATAGGTTGTAAGTCAAGGACTATCTGTAGAGGCATCAAATAACCGATTTTGTACATCATGACCACTGTTCTAGACTGAAACCCCCGGGCTGTCAGCACAGTCTGGAATTCAGGTTGTATACTTTTGAAATAGATTAATTTAAACTCAGAAAGGTTGCTCTTGGCATGGGATCCAGTAATTCAAGTTTCCATCAAGTCGTAGAGAAACTAAACCTTATTGTGACATATCTTCAACTTCTTTAACATGTGACATTGAGTTCTCTTAGAACATCGACCCATTTGTTTGGTAGCCAGATGATGCCCAAAACTCTTTAAAAAGTATTTCCTTATGCTGAAATCCACTCCATTATTCACTCCATACCACCTATTCTCTGACTGTGAAGCAGGCTGATATGGATCCGATATATGTTTTCCCAGAAATAGTTCTCAGATGGCTAACCTGGCCAGAATTCAGGAAATTTGTGGTCTCAACCCATATGAAGGACTTTAGGTAGCAAGGTTGCTTAGTTGCCAGTTAGCATGTTTGCCTTTAGCCAAAATTAATTTTCTGCTTTCTTTCCGCTCTATAGAGTTGTTGGTTTTCAAAACCGAAAAAAACTTATAGGATTTTTCCTAGTTGTCTTTAATTGTTTATTCCCACCTTCTTTTACAGCAGCAAAGGAGAGAGAAGGAGTTAAGAAAACAACAAGAGAGAGAGCAACGGCGGCATTATGAAGAACAGTTGCGGCGAGAAGAGGAAAGGAGACGGGCTGAACATGAGCAGGTGACGAGCTTCAGATCCAAATGATTGCATTTTTATAGTGCAGGCTGATTTCTCTGTCCCAAACTCAGACTCAGAAAGGAGGTTCAGCATGACTCATCTTCTTCATATTGTATGGAGACGTTGGCATTAGACTGAGAGACCCAAGTTTAATTCCTATCAGTGACATAAATATGCATTCTGTTGTTGGCCATTTTAAGGTTCTGTGGGTTTTGATGTAGTGCTTAAAGTAATAGGTTAAGAACTGGGAGGCTCAGTTCTAGGACAGTGGCAACCACTTCACAAAACACATTACCAAGAAAGCTGCATGGGCTTGTCCAGCAGTCAACAGAATCCAGACTGACTCAAGTGCATACATGCTGACACACACACACATACACACACACACACACACACACACACACACACACGTAGTAATCAGTGCTCAGTCATTGCAGGGTGCAAATATGGCTGACCGCCTTCGCAGTGTTTATTCTTTTATACAGTTTTCCAAGCAGCAAAAGTTTAACATGGCAATAGCATTTTATTGGTTAAACTCCTTACCAATCCTTAAGAATATACAAGCCAGGAGGCCCCAAACAGGGAGCAGTTTGCTGCAACATCCTGTTGGTGTAACCTAGCTAATATCAGGCAGGTGAGGTCATTGTACCAGCCTGGGATAGTTTCCCACATTGCCATGGTGATGTGAAGGGATGAGATCATGTAGAGAGAAGAGGCACGCAGGCTTTGGAAGGGGCAGTTTGCTGCTCACGACCTCTACCTGGCCCCTATCTCTACACACATACACACACACACACACACACACACACTGAATACAGTCCACAACTTGCAACCATTCATTTAGCAACTATTTGAAGTTATACCGCACTGAAAAAAACAGTATGAATTTACGGCGGTTGCAGCATCCCAGGGTCAGGTAATTGTCATTTGTGACCTTCCCAGCCAGCTTCTGACACGCAAAGTCAGTGGGGGAAGCTGGATTCACTTAACGACCGCATGATTCACTTTAACAACTGCAGTAAATCACTTACCAAGTCCTACAGTCAGGGACTACTCACTTAACAACCGCCTTGCTTAGCAACAGGAATGTCAGCCCCAATTGTCATAAGTTGAGTACATACATAAGTGCAGTACTATAGTAGAGTTTTGACAGATAAACCTACCTGTGAATTGGGATCATCAACTGAGCCTTCCTTAAAGTTTAGGCATGTGATTGGACAGAATGTACAGGTAGCCCTCGGCTTACAACCTCAATTGAGCCCAAAATTTTTGTTGCTAACTGAGACATTTGTTAAGTGAGTTTTGCCGCATTTTATCACCTTTCTTGCCACAGTTGTTAAGTTGCAGTTGTTAAGTTAGTAACATGGTTGTTAAGTAAATCTGGCTTCCCCATTGATTTTGCTTGTCAGAAAGTCACAAAAGGGGATCATATGACTCTGGGACAGTGCAACCGTCATAAAGACGAGTCAGTTTCCAGGCGTCTGAATTTTGATACATTATCATGGGGATGCTGCAATGGTCATGAGTTTGATCTGTTTCCTGGGTCTTAGTTCCTGCTGTTTTTCAGTTCTTCCTGCATTGTTACAGTTTTGTGTACAGACGTGTTCCTGATTCATCTCCAGGTAAAAGAGTCAGAGGGAGATACAAAGCGGTTCTCTGCTTGAAATCCTTGAGAGTTTCCACTGATAGTGTAGATAACACTGGACTAGGTGGAGATTGTATAGATGCCAATATAGTGGAAATTCAGTTGGTTATTTTGGAAGAGCAGCCACTTTCATTAGCACACTCCTTAGTCTCTAGTTACTTTTCTCCACCTCAACTAAACAGGCATGTACAGGTAGTCCACCACTTATAGCAACAATTACATCCAAACTTTCTGTTGCTAAGTGAGATAGTTGTTAAGTGAATTTTGCCCCATTTTATGACCTTTCCTTTCACAATTAAGTGAATCACAGCAGTTATTAAGTTAGCAATACAGTTGTTAAATGATCTGGCTTCCCCATGGATTTTGCTTGTAAGGAGGTAGTCAAGTATCTGAATTTTGATCATGTGATCATGGGGATGCTGCAGTGGTCGTAAGTGTGAAAAACAATCATAAGTCACGTTTTTCAGTGCCATTGTAATTTTGAATGGTCACTAAATGAACTGTTGTAAGTCAAGGATTCCTTGTATTTGGTTGTTCTAAGATCTGTCTGCCACTCTCATCTCAGTGTAGTACACTCTTACAGGTAGTCCTTCTTTAGTGATCACAGTTAAGACCTGCAAGTTGGTTGTTAAGCGAAAGTGGGTTGCTAATTGAAAATTACATGACCACAACCGTGCTTATGATTTTACTTCAGCTTTCCTCTGCTTTACTGTATCAGAAAGCTATGACGCCGGTCAGATGAGCCCAAATGGCAGGGAAGGTTTCTGGAATTCAACCCATGAGAAAACTGAGTAAAAGTGCAACTCTTATAACCATTTTTTTTTTTGCATTTCCTTGTCCTTTGCAATGCTCTTCTGACCGCTGGGATAATTAGCAAGAAAAGAATTAATGTTTGCATTTACATTCTTTCGAGAGAAAGGGATTACAAGAGAGTAAATAAGCACCCAATGGGGAATATATTTAACAGCCATAATATATTTATGCATTATATACATATTCAGCATTAAACAAAACAAGGCTCTGTTATTTTCTCAGCAACAGTTTGTACAGTTTGTGTGATATTTAGTCAAATGAATTGCACTGTATTTCTATTTTCCCCCTTTGGTCCCACCCTCCTCTATCAAGCAGCAACCTTTGATGTTTATGTGATTTTCCCCCTCCTATTCTTAACAATCACCTTTTTTTGCCTTTGGAATTATGGTTCTTCCTTTTCTCTCCTTTTTTCTGCTTCCTGCTTCCCACCATCTCCAGGAATACATCAGGCGACAGTTAGAGGAAGAACAGAGGCAGTTAGAGATTTTGCAGCAGCAGTTACTGCAGGAGCAAGCGCTACTTCTGGTAATGGGGAGGCAGGATCTCTCTTACGTCCCTTTCTCCCAACCTTTCTGTCTGTAGCAAAACAGCATGATATTAGCCTTTATAGGGTTGCCACCTTTTTCTCATTTTTTTTTCTTTTTTAAACTTGAAAGTATTCAAATGTTGGTTAATTTGGCATTTATTAACATTTCTGGAATCGGCAAAGCATGGGGGTTAGAAGGCATGCCATCAAGACTTGATCTAGCCTATTATATTATGCAGTTTGATCTGGTTTTACTCAGGACACAGATTCAGTTGCAAATTGTTTGAAATTTATGTTGAATAAGAAAGAGAAAGCAAGAGCTTATAAGACAGCAGCTGGCCAGCTTTTGGCTACTGAACTATCTGGGATAATGGTCCAAGCATTTATAAAAGGAACCCCCCAAGCTTGTGCATGGGCTATTGGAAAAGTCCCCAAATCTTGCAAGATTAGTGCAAGATAGTTGTGGTCTTAATGTGAAATTTGGACAGTTTATTTCTTGGGGGATCAAATGAGCATCCTAGTGCTTTATGTGTTGCGTTGCCAACCTCTGTTCTAAGCCTTAACTAGCATTTTATTGAATGCCTGATTACATCTTCCAATAATGTTTTCTTTTTCCAAATTTAGCTTCTCATAGGCTAAATTTCTACCAAGAACAAAACATGGACATCCCAGGCCAGAATTTCAGTCTAGGGTTTTTTTTAAAATTTATTTTACTCTTTCACCTTCTTCATCCAACATGTGCTTTCAGCTTATGGAGAAAGAGAGTTTCAGGCACAGCTTACAGCTGAAAATAGCTGTAGTCATCCTGAAGCATATATGCCAATTTAATTCTTAAATAATGATAGTTTCTAAGTCCAATTAATTGGCTAGAAAGAGAAGAATTTCTGAGAAATAAGCACAATCTGAAATCCTGATTCTGGGAGACCCTTCCAATGCCAATATTGCTCTCTATTTGTGGCCTGAAAATAATAGTGAGGTGTTGATGGGGATTACCAAAGAAATGGTAAGACCCAGTGCTTTTTTTAAATAAAAAAAGAAAAGGTGCCGGAACTCACACACGTTATACAACCCGCCTTGCCTACCCTACAAAGTTCCATCCCAAAAAGGTGCTGGAACTCCGTTCTGGGCGTTCTATGACAAAAAAAAGCCCTGGTAAGACCAGATAAGAAATAAAGATCAGAAAACAACAAGAATGGGGAAAAGTGCTAGTAAACAAAGGAATTGGGTGGGGGGGGACATCTGAAGTGGCAATCCTAAAAGGCTAAGCTAATATGAAAAGCCATACTGGGGAGAAGCTGGTCTGCTAAGGTCCAACTTTATCTCCAGAGGAGAAGATAGCATGCTGCATTAGTTTCTTCCTGAATGCAATCCTACCAAGAACTCTGAATGTTTATATTGGGGATATAATGGAGGGAGAGTTCCTTGCTTGCACATCTTTCTCTGTATGTCTCCGTTCTCCATTCATTACTGAGAATTAAGTGAAACCTCCTAGAAATGTGTCCTACAATGCAATATTCACACACCTTCTAATTTCTCTATGCAGTCTGGTGACGTGTTTCTTTACAGGCTGCTTTCTTTACATTCATGATAGAAGAGTGTGTGTGGGAGGCCTGTATATCACTACATTTTACGCTACTTAAAATTAAGTAGACAAATACTCTAACTTTCCCTTGTGCTTTCTTTGTCCCTTCTCCTAGTTCAAAGTTGCATCTTGTCAGTGTTTGGGATATGTAATTTAGGATTTTTTAAAACCAGCATTGTATTAATTAGTGATATTTATATTTATATTCCCTTGTTAACAATAGAACAAGCAAACAGACTTCTGTATAAAGATTTCTGTTACTGCCAGCCATTTTAACAATTCTGCACTAGGAGTCAGTTAAAAAATAAAAATGCAATGTATTAGATTTATCAACAAATGCCTTTCAGATTTAATGTTTTCTTTGTATCAATGATAGCATCAGTTTGGACGTATTGCGATTATACTTCTTTGATAGCTACTAATACTGTATACCCATATTTAAAATAAGCATAATTTCAAGGACCCTTTAGACACAGTCTTAACTTATTTCATCCCGTTTGAACTGACACAGTCACATAAATACCATACATTAAGCTTTGTGGAGGTTTTTTCCCCCCTTTTAAAGTCACTTTATATGTAAAGCCTAAAATGAGATTGAATAGAGATTGAATTGCTTCCCATTGAAATAGGTCAAATAAATACCTGTTTGTGATGGATGTTAAGATTTGGTAATGAAATTGATTGGGAATGGGCAATGAGTAAATACTGTGTATATGCAGAATAAAGGGAGTTGAGAACTGAAATTGCTCTTTGGTAAGCCAAAGTTCATACTAACCAAACACAAAGAATATTGGGATCCATAGAAATCATAATCATTGCATCTTTTAATGTTAAGTTTTCATTCAGTAAACATCTACCTTTTAGACATGGCTGTTCCCTCACAGTAGCATTCTGACAGTGGGAGTGTATCCCACAATTTCATACTCTTCTCCGGCTTGTTAATTTTTGTGTGGTGCACGTGTCTTGGTAGGAATACAAGCGCAAGCAGTTGGAGGAACAACGGCAAGCAGAGAGGCTACAGCGACAACTGCAACAAGAAAGAGACTATCTAGTTTCTTTACAGCAGCAACAGAGACAAGAACAGAGACCAACAGAGAAGAAGCCTCTTTATCATTACAAGGAGGGGATGAATGCCACTGAGAAGCCAGCTTGGGCAAAGGAGGTAGGGCTGATCACATTTTATCTTAGAATAGGTAAACAAACCAGTTTCATCAACATTCAATTTGCACACATTTTCAGCCTCCCGCCCACACCCAGAACTCTTTGGGATTACCTGGCACTAATTCTTCATTATATTGAGTTATTTGGCCCAATAATTTCATCTTCCCTCTGATGTCATCAGGTCCTTGTGTCCAACCCAAAGGCTAGATTGATTGAGGTTCCCTTTACAATTCTGAAATTCCATGGTTGTATCACATATTCAGATCTGGGTGGTATGATGTAACTGGGTAAAATTACCTGTGTGTCTAATCCTGGAAAGAAAATGATTCAGCAACAAAACAGAATTGCGGTATTGATGGTCAGGATTTTAAAAACTTGAGTGTTTTCACTGGTTTTTATTTGCAAAAGAAGAGATTTCTCCTGTCTTACGTATTTTTCAAGCAACTTGAAAAACAAAATTCACCAGTATGTGATACTTAATAGAAATATTCTATTTTTTTAAAAAAAAAAGTCAATGAAACATATGTTTTTATAAAGTATTATAGGGTGGAAAATGCTGGTATGGCCAAAGCATCTGTTTAGAAGACACAATTCCATGTGTGGTACCAGCTGATAAATCTTCATGCCTGACATTGGCAACTGTTGATATGTCAGGAAAACTTACTATTGCAGAACACTTTTAATAGCTTGCTTAATCAACAAAGATATGTTGCCTATATGTAGAGAGATTGTATTTTAAAAAGCTCTCTTGCAGTTTACACATTTTTTAAGTTAGATATCAGAGGTAATGCACAGCTTAATCCATTTTCCACAGTGTCTAATATGAGAGCAGATAAGTACTTTTCCCAATTCATGTAATGGGTAATTGAGGATAGGTTTATATTTACACATGCATGTAAATGAAATTATAATATAATTTTTTGCATAGTACCACTGTTTAGAACTTTGCACTGTTTTTATCCTAGCCGTTTTACCATATGTTGTATTGGAGACATTTTGTTTGGAAAGCCACATGAAAATGTGTTTCTTTTTTTTTTTTCCCCTCAAATGATTTTTCAATCTTATATATTCAGGGAACACTTTCCACATCAAATCATGTGCTAAAGTGTTTTGCATACATAATGCAAGCCTCAGCACATTGCAGAAGTAATATATGATGACATTGATGTGAAAGCCTTGGTTAAGTGTTGGTCAATCTCGTAATTGCCATGTAGCAGAATGCTGTGGGTGTATAGTTAGACTATCTTAGTCCTTCCATGAAAGTATACATTTTTACAAAATGCAAATTATAAGCAAGGACATTTTCGGAGAAAGGTTAAGGATCCCCCATACAATTTGAAAGCCATTGCCTGTTCCATATTAAATAGCTACCCAATGTATTATCTCATACAGCTAGTGTTGGCTGTTGTACCAACATTTTTTAAAAAAAAATCCTTCCCCATTTGGTCATTTAACTGTCCATTGCATTTTGGACTGAATCACCTCTTTGATGCATGTAATTTTCTTGATAACTGCATCTCTGTCAACCTTGTTAGCAAAAGGCAAAGAAATGGGGATGTCCAAAACAACAGAATAGATTTTTTAAAATTCAGCTCATTTTTTTTAAAGCCTGATTCCTGCTGTGAGGTCAGAGAAGCAACTTGCTCCCATCTCTGCCGCAATTATTATAGCGGTGCCAGCTACTGAATAAGAAGCTGTTATGTTCACATAATACACTTCCTCTGAAAGAAAGGATTGCCCATTCAAAAGCAGATAGTAGATGCCACTGGGGCACAGTAATTGCTACCACTCTGAAAAACTGCTGGTCTCTTAATAACTATACGGAGTGACTATTACAGGGCATTTCATTATAGTGTGGAGGTTAAGATGTATGACCTGTATGAGAAGACCCAGCTGCAGGTCCCCACTTGAATATGGAGATTGCTGGATGACATTAAGTGAGCCATTTTCTCTCAACATAGTGAGCCATTTTCTCTAAACAGGCATCAAATGAAGGAAGATCTTCAAGTATGTCATCTTAAGTTCTCAAAGGGAAACCTGGAAGATAAATGCAGTATACAGAGTTCCTGAGATCACAGCTTTAATTGGCCTCATTTGTCTAAATCACATTTGTGGTTTGGAGAACTCATTGTAAATTGCTATGGAGAAATTTCCAAAAAGATCCCTTCCTGTACTGTTTGTTTGCGTGGATTGTAGCAAAATCAGAATAATTTTGAAGGATTCTCATCTTGATCCATTTAACAGAATTTGATCAGCCTCCAAATTTAATGGTAAAAGAATGAAAAGAGAATTTTACTGTAAAATCAAAAACTTTTCTCATTCTTACTGGAAACCTTCCATTTGTTTCTGTGTAATGGAGTTTCATTTGCTCAATGAAATGGACTCAGTCAGATGAAGCAGTTGCTATAGTAATCAAGTTCATGTTTTGCAGGAGAATTTGGAAACTATTTTAAACAGGGAAGAATGCAAATACTCTGCTAAAATAATTTCTAAAAAGCTTATACAATATTTTAGTCAATCTTGCACCCTTAAGTAATTTTATAGGAGTGAGACCACAGATAAAAGTAACAAAGTACAAAGGTAATTTAAAACATTGGGCATAAGAAAAATACTTTATCACATAAAAAAATTGATAGATATTGCATAAAACATTTAACACATATGTTGATTTATTAATCTAGGTTTTGTTTCTATAGCCATGGTTAAAAATTTGGCTGTCACTATTGTAATTTTAGGATTTTTATCTGAGAGAAGAATTTTAATTTGTACATAAATATTTCTTTCTGGACTTGATTTTAAAATAAACTAGATAATATCCTGCCAAAAAAGTTTGTAAAATTCACCGAGCAAACAAATACTATCCACAGTTGTAAGATAAATATCATTATCAGGACAACACCTTTGAGAGATGGGAATCTTTTGAAATGTACAGTGCAACATGTGATGACAATGCTTTTAATCGGGCTTTTGAAAAGGTTATATTTACTTAAATGTAAACTGCTAAAATTTATTGGGAGCCAAAAAGCATAAATGTAAAGTTCAGGGTAAATAATGAAAGATTATAATAGTGATTACTTTTATAACAATTTGGGAAATTATTTCCAAATAGGATGCACACATTTAATCAAGTTTAAGAAAACACAGGCATCCAAGGATTATGGCTTTAAACAATTATTTCAAAGATACTGTTCACTGCATTCATTTTAAAAGGTGCAAAGATAACTTCGAATATCTTCATATCTTCTGGTCTAAATTTAAATAATATGAATGGCTTTCTGACCCTTTAAATATTAGATTTCACTACTCAGGTTTCCAACCATTGACAGCAAACTTACTTGCTAAAAATGTGGATTGCTGAGTTAAAACTTTTCACATGAGTACAGTTTCTGTTATGTCTTAGATAGCTTTCTGGGCCACAAAGTGGAATTAGTTTGGCGCTGTCTTTTTCCATGTTTGCTTTTTTTTCTAAATTTATAGTATTTTGTAGAACTATCCTATCTAAGGATAATCACCTGCCTAAATATGCTTATGTTCCAAGTAGAAATAAGGTCAGATATGTTCTTCCACCTGGTAAGAGAATGTTGGTTCAGGTGATTTTATAAGCAAGCCAATTCATCTTCATTAAAAGTCAGTGGAATCTCCACCTTCAAAGAGCCCCAGTGAATACCAGTCACCATAAGGAAAGCCATTTATTTAATGTTCTCTCTGTGACTTCCAAGAAGTTCATCAACTTGTAGAAATAGGTCATTAGCTTGATCCATTACGGCTCTTAGTATATTTTCTGTGTTAAGGGGTATGTGTGCAATGTTGTTTGCCAGTTTATGAGTTAGAACATCTAGTTCCCTTGATTTTCTGAAGTAGCAAGGTTTTCAAAGCAAGCTTGGTTCTTCTCTTATTAGTTGAGCATGGTACAGGACATTGAACAATTGCATGTTGTCTATGAGATTCGTTACAATGTGTGTTTTTTAATAGTTTAATTTCTGTAATCCTACTTCCCCAGGTCCAGCAACGAACTTTTAATAACCTGCCTGTTATCCCAGCTAAACAGAACCATAGTTCCATTCCCAAACACGTGCCCTTTCTTACTCACAAAGACACAGTTCTTCAATCCAATTCTAAGGCTTATCGTAACATTTCCAAACTGCATGGTAAACAAAACTTACAGGATCAGCAAGCATTAGGTCACAAAGGAAAGGACATGTTGGCTTCTACTAGAGAAGTAGCACTGTTGCCTGTCATTACAATTTCCATGCCAAGTCCTCAGGAAGATCCAAAGAGAAGATCCATTTTGATAAACTTTGAAGCTAGGTGTGGTTTTCCAGACCAAAGGAAAAATAATAGCAACATGAAGTACTTCCGTGGCTCTCGATCACAAGGGTGTAGCCCTGATAGGATGCAATCGCTGGAGGTCAAGTCAGTGTCTTCTCCTCATCTTACAAAAAGAGATAAACCACCATTACCTCCTTATAAAATCAAAACGAACTTCCAAGAGCACAATGGAGACAAGAGAAGGAAAAATCCTTCACATTTATACCCAGGTGTTATATCTCCTTCAAGGAGTGCTCCATCTTTAAACAATGTCTTGAAAATGCAGGATCATCTAGATTTGAGTGCTTCTAGCCCAGCCTGTGTCTTGAGGTATCACAAGATACAAAATGACCATAAGAAGCACCATGTATCTATGGAGAGTATCTTTGAACATCATCGTCTTTCTGGTGGGAACCATCATGCACAGATGCCAAGGAAAATGATAGGAAATAGCATGGAGCAACTTTTTGTTCCTTCTCTGGATCTTTCTCCACAAATTTCTCAGTTGAATGTATCCACAATGGAACCCTTATCTCCTTCCTCTCGCTCAGTGTCTTTAAATGCCCTTTCATTTTCTTCTAATTCTGAAGTGGTTTGGCCTTCTAAAAATTCCTCTGGTGCTGCTATGAAGGTGAATCTGGGTTCATTTTCTAACTCTTCCTGTTTTTCTTCTAAACTTTCTCCACAAATACC